CAAAGGAGGGCATGCTTGCCTCTCAGAATTTAGCAAAGACTCACTGAGGAGAGAAAGGCCTGGAGCTCACTTTTAGAAGATTACTAGGAGTTTGAAGAATGTGGAAGACAAGCCTGGAAAAAATTAACTCAGTTCTAGGAAACACCACTTGACAAGACATGGAATTCCTTCAAGCAGTTTAGCTTTGACTGAGAGGAGGAAAGAGAGGAGCACAACTTGGGTATTTGCTGACCAATTATGGAAGAACAGCTAATAACTTCATTATTTGTGTCTGGGACTTGCCTGCCTATGGCAGCTGGCCCGCAGGGCCTCTGAGCAATGTCCACCAGGATTTGCTCCCACCGTGTCCCCCCATCTGGTCACCCAGGACTCCAGAGTATACTGGGGCAAGACACAGTTCCAATTTCTGGAGGTGGATGAGTAACCAGGAAGAAGTGTAGAAGAAAGGAACCTTAGGGGCGGTGACTTAGGGACTGAGGCCAGAGTTCAGTGGTCAATCAGGGATCACTGCCTGTGAACTGGAGAGGCCAGAATATGTGCCACCTCCTAACTGCAGGTGAAGGAGGTAGAAGAAGCCTACTGGAGCAAGGGCGTTGCTCTGTTGCTGCTGTATCGCCAGTGTCCCGTTGCCTGGCTTATGGTCAGTTCTCCAAACAACATTTGTTAAGTGAAGGAAAAGTCTAATTTCAAGAGGCCTGGTAGCCCTCAGGTACAGATAAATGAAACAAAACGGGGACCTTCCAGGGATGGCCAGCTCCAGGCAGGGAAGTAGCTGGCCTGCAAAGGAAGGATGACCTCTCAAGTTCTCTCTTGTGGGGATTTGAACAGGACTAAAGAGGAGGCAGTTAGGAGGCAGCTGAAGCCCAGGAGAGACCTCGAGGTGGAGAAGGGTCTTGAAGGACCTTGTGCAAGCTGGTGTTGTAAGGGACCAAACTCTATGAGCGGGCCCAGCAAGGAGGAGTAAACCAAGCCATGTTAGAACAGAGGGAGAAGCAGATGTACAGACAGAAGCAGCAGCCCTGAGGGAGGGATGCCATACTGCCCAGGAGAGTGAGAACAGAGAGGGACAGACTGTCCAGATCCCATTTCCAAAGTCCCTCTGTGGCACCAGTCACCTTTTCAAGGTAAATGCCCTTTTGAATGGAGGTAAGAACAGCAATGGCCTCCTGGGTTTGTGGTGCTGCAGAGGCAACAGTATCCACCCAAAGCCCTTAGTACAATGCCGGCCACCCGAGTGCTCCAGAACTGTTCTTTTTGAGGATATTGTTTCATTACCCTTACTGGATTCCCAGAGAACTGTGTTATTCTTATTACGCCATATGTATCTTTGCAATAAGCATCCCCTAGCTTGGCGAGTCTTTGTTGTTTGCGACCAAAAAACCAGAAACAGCCCATGTCCAAAATTATCTCTGGTCAGAGTTGCAGTAAATATGTTTGATATAGTCCAGTGGGGGCCCAAATCGTTAGCGATCCTTATCCTTGTCAGTCCTATAGGGAAGGTCCCTGAATACTAAGGTCTAATCCCATAGATCTGGTGCAGATCAGGGATTTCCTGGTTTGGGGGAAGGCAGCTCAAACAATACCTACCCCCCACCCCCTCACTGAGCTGTGGGCAGCTCGGGAAGGCAGAGGCTGGGAAGCCTGGTGTCCAGGGGAACATGGGAACGGGGGGGGGGGGGGGGGGGCTGAAGACACACTCCTCCAGCCCCACCCCCAGAAAGTGGTACAAAGTGCATCTTTTAATTTCGTTGGTTAATCAGTGGTTTCATTCACATCAGCATTGCTTAAACTTTTGAATGGGTCACATGGGAACATGACACAATATTCCAAAGAATATAAAGTGAGAGGTAAGTCCTATCCTTTAGCCGTTACCAGCTCCTTAGGCAGCCTCCCAGAAGTCATGCACTCCGTGAATACAGGAGCATGATGAATACAAGCCTACACATTCAATGTAAATATACACACATATACATACACACACACTGTTACGCACATCGTTTCTCTCAGTTAACACGCCATCTTTAGAGCTAACTCCACAGCAGTGCATATAAAGCCGCCTCATTCTTTTTAACAACGGTGCAGTATTCCATTTTATAGACACACCAGCAGTTGCTTAATCCTCCACCAATCAACTTTTGAGTGATTTACAAACTTTACGAATACAAACTGTGCTGTAATGGATATCCCCGACCACATACCATCTTGTATACATACAGTACAAAGTCCTAGACGTGAAATTGTCAGGATGGAGGGGAAGCACATTTGAAGTAATGTCAGTGGACGCGCACAGTGGGCCTCCAGAGGGGTGTGTGCAGTCTGCGTGCCCACCAGTAACATGTCTGAGTGACTGTTGTTCTACACTGTCACCCACCGGAACGCATTTATTTCTTTAAGGATGTCATTTTGTAGCAAATATGAGCATCTGGGCAAAAGCCTATTGCATCGCTTTCTTCTGAAACCCAGTCTGTTTGTCTGAATGTCTGTCTCTCTTCTCGCTTCCTGGGCCGGTGTGTGCACACACACAGTGCCTTGCCCTCCCCCCCGGCAGAGTCTGATTTTAAAAGCTTTCATTCTTTCATTTTCATATTGCAGTGGGTTTTTATCTTTTTATCTTGGTGGTGTTCATTGGCAAAAAAAAAAAAAAAAGAAAGAAAAGTAATTCTTGAGCAAGTGTTTTCACTGACTCCTACATTCCCAAGTGCAGCAGGTCTCCTAACCTTTCCAGAAGTGATTGCTGCTGCCCGCGTGCCAGGACCTCGTTCTTCATTACTTTTTTCAAAACCCTTATAATACTGAGGGGACCAATACTGGGGCTGATAATGCCCAGTAATTCTCAGTATTTACAGAGCCTCTTTGTCTGAGATCTCAAAGCACTTGGCAGCATTAAAGCTTCATTCCCTTGGCTTTCTCAAAGGCATCGTTGAACCTCCGTGGATGATGTTCGGAAACGAAAACACTGCTTTCTCCCCAGATGGTCTGAAAGGTGACCGGGAAGAGAGTACATGCTAACCAGCCTCATTTCCAGCCATAGTAGCCTGTCTTCTGGTTACATCAAATTTTTCCCTTTTGTGGATGCATTTCCAGTGACGTGTCTGTGTATGAACAGCAAATAGAAAAGTCTCTCTTCCATGTAGGCGGTAAAGGGGTTAAATACTATCACAAGGTTGAGTCCCTGGATGCTTTCAAGCTACTCACATTCTCTCTGGTGAGTCTCTGTGACTCTTTTCTATCTGAGAAAACATGTAAATATGACGAAACACACCACTTCCACCGACCCAGAGAAAGAGAGAGAGAAGGGAGGCAGGGAGGCAGGGAGGCAGGGAGGCAGGGAGGCAGGAAGGGAGGAGAGCGCTAAAAAACAAAGAAGGCAGGCAAGGGGGAAGGGAACCTGATTCAGATCTGATGCTTTGGCCCGGATTGGACGAGACCTTACCAGTACAAAGCCTAGACCATCCTCATGCATCATTTTGATTCCACCAGTGAGTAATTGCTCTTTTACAGAGTTTTTTTGTCTTCACCCCACCCTTCTCCCTGCCCTTTCTCACCCCCTAGGCTCCCCATGCTCTGTGCCTATACACACCACACACAAAATATCAACCATAGAGCAAATATTTCAGAGGGAAATGTTAGCAAATATTAGCTCATATTTCAGATATAGAAAGCAAGGCAAGGAGAAGCTATAATTTACTTAGTGACAAGAGCCTATGTTAGGTACACATATCCCAAACTGGATCTATTGAGTCAGGAATTGTCAATCTATGGGACTGGGTTTTTTTTAATATTTATTGCACAAATAATACTGAACATTCAAATTAAAATAAACATCACTGCAATCCCACCATGCCAATTGATGATTCTGCTTTCATCCTGCCTCATCATGTCCATTGAAAGTCTGAGTTCACATGCACATAAACTGTAGCCAGAACCTAGAGAATATAACATTGTAGGCGAGAGCCCAGGCACTAGAGCCAGGCTACATGTACTTATATCTCATTCCACCATGGACTAGCCTAGTGTTAGTTCCTCCATCTGTACAGTGAGAATATTAGTAGGACCCACCCCATGGATCTATAATGGGCAATGATGAGGCATCCATGTGAAGTAGCTAGCAAAGTACCTAGAATATGATGTGCACCTGGTAAATGTTAGCTGCTGCTGCTACTAAGTTTTGCTCTGTGCTTTTGAAAATGTATCATAAGCAAGTACAACAGAATTGTCTGATCCCAAATTCTCTCTAAGCTGCCTGCCCACTCCTGTGGCATAGTCCCTGCAGGTTCCCAGAGAGGCGTATCCTTCTACTGCAGGGGAACAGGCAGTGTCCTCTGGCCCCTCCCCTTTCAGGGCCTTCGCAGACCACGCCTGGTATGGGCATCACTGCCCTCCTGACCCTCTCACTCTACAAATCTCAAGCTTTCAGGGAAAAAAAGAACAGGATGGGGAGGTAAAACGGAACCATGGAAGACACTACTCCTCAAAGGTCCCAGTCACCTGTGGTAGTAGCGGCATCCATCTGACCCAGTTGTGTTCTGGTTATTGCTGGCATTTTTCAGAACAATGGTAATAAAAGGCATTGTCCTTTGTGTTGGTGAATTTCAAATTTATATGAAGTTGCAAAAATGCCGCCGATGCCATTTATCCAGATTCTCCGGTTGTTAACATTTTGTCCTATTTGCTTTCTCGTTCTTGTTCTCTCTCCTTATATCTGCATGTTTCTGTATATACACAGACATATACATGCGTGTGTGTGTGTGTGTGTGTGTGTGTGAGAGAGAGAGATATAGGACAGTCCTCCTTACTCTTTCTCAGAGTAGAGTTCCTGGGAAGATAGTCTCTCTCCTCCACGGCCACGGTTCAATGATCATAATCAGGGAATGCAGTGTTCCTATAGTACAGCTCTCCAACCCACAGTGTTTTTGTATGTTCAAAGCCTCACTTGAACAAGGAGGTGTGAGACAAAGATAATAAATGTACATCACAGCCTAATTAGGCCACTTACTCACCTGACGACCTTCTCACCGGAGTCATTCTTCAGAGTGAAGCTCTAACAAGATTCCCCCGCAGGCCTGGGCAGGCCACTCTCCCACCTGGCAGGAATCCTTTCTGTTCAGGGAGCCCTGCGTGGGGGCCCTCAGACAGCTCTCACTTCCTTTAGCAACAGCTTCCTGTCTGTCTCCACACTGGACCTGAACTCATCCGTGTTCCCAGGGCCCGCTTGGGTAACTGACAGATAAACTGGCGCCTGGGATATGTTTGTTAAAAAATGAATGGGCAACTAGACGCATGGAAGGAAGCCTCCAGTGAGTTGAACTTTATGAAGAGCTAGGTTGTGTTTTTAAATCTATTAGATGAAAGTTCAACCGTACACGGTACACTGGGTAAAATGACGTATTCACCTTAGGGACATTGCCGGGCATGCATGGGATCTTGGCCCATGCCTTTACTGCCACTCCCTCAAACTTTTTCTCCTCCCTCTGCCCCGGAATACAGAAACTGCTGAAAGAATACAGTTATGTGCAGGGGACAAGTACAGACTAGACTCTCGAAAGAGCCGTGCCTGTGAGCGTAAGAAACACAGCCCAGGATTTCAGCACTTGGCAGCCCCGCGCTTTCCATCGGTCCTGCCACGTTTGCACGCAGTAACTTTCCGCGCAGGCTCCCGGTGGGGAGGCCGCGGGGCGGAGCTCCGGTCCGTCCCCCTCACCGCAGCAGCAGTAGCTGCCACCGGCGGGGGCGCCAGGGTGCCCAGCAACTAACTGCTCCTCCAAAAGCCGCACGCCCCAACTCCGGGAGCGCTCCCGCGGAGCTGAGTTTGTGGCAGAACCTGGTGACTTCCAGGACCCTTGAACTGGATGGAGCACGGAGAATGCTGCGCTCCGGAGATTTTCTGCTTCTGCAAGGCAAGGTCACCAGCCAGCCCGTGGGTCCTGAGAGCGGCTCCATCCCGGGCACCTGCTGGTTCCAATGTCAGAAAACAAAGAAGGTAGTTGAGTTCCATCTTTATAGAGCAGCTTCCCCGTGGCAGGCACTATGGTAGATTTGGGCATGGCGTGGTATTTAATTTTTATTTTCATTTAACAAATGCCTATGTGGCATTTGCTACATGCCTGGCACTGTTCTAAGCACTTTACAAATATGAACTTACTTAATCCTCATGACAGCCTATGAAGTAAGCACTATTATTTTTTTCTGGGTTTTTTTTTTTTTTTGGAACCAACATAAAGAGACGATAAGAGGGCGAAGACTGAGTTTCTGCCCTTGCGTGAACTAATACCATGATGTCTTTTGCTCTTTCACGTGTTCTACATTGTTTTTACTTACTTGCTTTCCCACTGGACAATTATTGTATCAACAGTGTTATTTGGATTAGTACTCTCTATGCACTAGATATCCTGGGGAGTCAGAAGTCTAAGAAGATCCTCACTTTAAAAACAGTGGAGTTTGATTAGGGAGTGAAACATCTGCCCTCTAGCAAATGGGAGATGGTGGGAGACAGTGGGAGAAGTCGGCCACAGGAGCTTCAGGAGGTGAAAGGAAGGGCGGAGCCTTATGGGCAGGATGGGTTGGGGAAGGCCTCAGAGAAGGAGGCTGGAACTCTGAAACCCTGTTCAGCTTTGAATGAACAAAACTGAGAGGTTCGCCCTTGTGTGGACAATGGCTTCCTGTGCCTTGAGGTCTGAAAACACAGCAAAGGTGCTGTGTAACAGCTACAGAAAAGTACCTGAGCAATGCCTGGGTTCTATACCTTAAAAATCACAGAGTCCTCAGATCCTGGGTAGTGTGGTTGCTCCTCCTGAGTCACCGTGAGGTGGTCAGAGTGCAGATCCTGGGGCTGTCAGCAATCGTGATTCATTACAAGGAAGTAGGACCCAGAGAAGCGTGGGGACAAGCAGAACTCCAACCTGCATGCAGATGACGAGGCTAGGAGACTGAGGACTAAGGGAAGCAGCTCAGTGTGGTTAAGTTTTCAGGATTATAAGTGAGTTTCTTAGTTTCCTTCTATGTTATGATACAATCGTTGCTGTTTTCCTTTTAAAGTTTTTTAGTTAGTATTTCAGTTACAGTTGACATACTATATTATGTTTCAGGGATACAACAGAGTGATCAGACATTTGCATCCCTTACAAAGTGATCACCCCAATAAGTCTAGTAGCCATCTGACACCACACATAGTTACTACAATATCATTGACTATATTTCCTATGCTGTACTTTACAGCTCTGTGACTACTTTTACAACTGGCGATTTGTACTTCCTAATGCCTTTCACCTTTTTGACCCAGCCTCCCACCCAACCCATCAGGCAGCCATCAACTTGTTCTTTGTATCTATGAGTTTGCTTCTGTTTTGCTTATTCATCTTTTTCATTAAAATTTATGTTTTTAGCAGAGCACAAACAAAAATCCCTCAACCCCGCTGATTATGAGTACCCCCGAGAGGAATCACCATGATACGTCATCTGTGACTGTGGTGGGCCATACTCGTAGCCCCAAGGTATTTTACACCAAAGTTAATCAAATGAAGCCGAAATGGCTGCAGGCAGTGCGTAAAGCTAAATTTCATCTTCAGTCATCACAGGAATCAGAACCTGCCTTTGTCTCCAAATAAAGACGATCTGCCGAAGAAATGTCCATTTTGGGAGTGGTTTCATTACCATAATAATCCTTTAAATCAAAGCAGCCATGCCTGGGTATTGAATTCTAAAGAGTGCACTTTTCATTATGAAATACCATGGTGAGCAGCTTCTGCCCAACATAACCGCCATCAGAACCACGAGAAGGGGCGATCCACGCAGGATGCCTCAGTGTGGACTCGTTTGCCAGGAGCACGTTCTCCCCTCTGGACAGCGGCCGAAAGGAAGGTCCCAGTGTTCCCTGGGAGAAAACCTGCCAGGCGTCCATCTGGACAGGGAACACCTAGTTTGTGTTGTCAAAGACCACTCCCTTTCTAAGCTGCGCACCTTCGGGCATGTGTCGGCAGGAGGTGTTGGGACAGATTAAAAAAAAAAAGTTGCACGAGCTTCCAACCCAGAAAATTGGCAAGATTTTGGAAAATAGCAACACAGGGAAAATTCCAAAGAAGTTGTCGTTCCGTAGGGTAACTGTTAGGAAGTGAGACTTGGAGAGTCATGACGGATGGGGGAGGTGGGGGAGACAGGGATTGCTTTAAAAGGTAAAACCCACAGGAAAGATGGCCTTCTGCTACCTTAAAATGAGAAAGTTAATTATTTTCATTTTTATTACCAACGTACAAAAAAATATTACATACATATCCTGACTCTTATAAAGCTCCTTGATGCAGAATAAACGCATGGGGAAAAGCTGTGTCCACAGAAGTTTATAGTGAGTTGAAGCTTTGTAGAGACAAATACAGGATGCAGTAGGTACCTGTTTCCTGATGTTCCAATCCAGTCATTCAATATTTAACGTATACACTGGGCACTGCTGTGTGCCAGGTGCCTGGAGCGCACACAAGGCAGGCTTCAAGATACATGTGTGTATGTGTGTGTCGGTGCTGTGTGTCAGTGTGTACTCTCCACGGGGGCTGTGTGGGTCAGAGGGGTCCCTGAGGGACGGACTACGGCAGAGGTCACCTCTTGGCCTTGGTTAGAGTTTTGAGAGGCTTGGGTCCTCACACCCAAGCACAGTTCCATTGTTGTCTCTCAGAATGGCTTTACCATCAGATTCTTAGAGGAACTACTTACATCTCTGCCTCACCTCCAGGAACAGGAAATCAGCCAAGCTAAGTGTTAATGACCAAGAAAAGAAAAATATGTGGTAATAGGAGACTGTTTAACAGCTTGTCCGTGGCCTCTAATAGGCCTGTTCCTATCTGATCATTAAAAATTGCCCTCGGGTACAAATCCCATCACTTTCCCGTGACTTAATGGTTTTAAGAACCAAAGTTGGACCTACCATTATCACTCTCAACAAAACAAGACCCTTTCAAGCACCTCTCGTCCCCAGCAGCCTCCCTGTGTTTCCCCCGCATGCACAGCGTCAGCCTGGTCCCTAATACAGCCAGGCCCTGCCTCGGAAACAGCCCTGCCCCAGTTTGAGCTTAGCAACTGTTGCCAGGGTCCAGAGGAAGCCAGGCTTTCTGCCCTCCATGGGAAAATCTGCCCATCACAGATCTGAAGACTTCATGAAGACTGGGCTGTGAAGAAGCTCACACTTCCAGGGTTTCCTGTGTGAGTGTGTAGATATTGTTTGCTTTATTCTTTTTTCCTTCCTGGTTAATATGGCTCATCATGCATTGAAGTTGGCCCCACCACCAACAGTCCCCCCTGAGGGAGTCTATGGACGGGGTGTTCTCTGAGGCCTTTCACCGTCATGATTCTGCCTCTTGCTAAGCTGCTAACTCAGACCTCGCTGCCCTTGAAGACTCAAAAGAGAGGCCCCTGATTGCATTGTCACTAGATATATATTTGTTTCAACTGAGTGCCCACTGGGTTCCCCAGTCTGCATGATTGATTATTGATTGATTTCCCAAATCTGAGGAACAAAATGGCACCTATTGTGTTCCGAGGACTGTGGTGGACTTGGACTCTGAGGTTATAACTCTGAGCCAGACAGGCACCCCTGTCCTGATGGTCTCTACAGAAAAGAATACATATAATTTTGATAAGTTAAGGTAGGAATAAAAGGAAAAAGTATGGGGCTGCTCTTCGTTTTGTTTTGTTTCAATTTGGAAGCAATTCTGTCACATGGAAGTCTTTCCCAAAATGCGTGCTCTTTTTCTGTGAAGCTTGTCTGCTGCAGTGGAAGCATGTTCATCAAATTCACTCAGTTACGTTCTCACAGTTCTGCCCCAGAGGCCCGGTGACACCAGGCTGAGAACGAGGGGCTTTCCTGCAGCCTTGCCACTGACTCAGCAAACCTTTGAGCTAGTTGGGCTGGACCTGGCTGTGCCCCAGATGTAGAATGGAGGTGTGGTCATCCCTGTTAGTGCAAAGTGCAAGATTATTCAGGGAAAATCAGTTTATTTTTACCTGACAAGCTTCCTTTTCCCCGCTCTTTTCCTGGAACGTTGTTCTGACATATTTGGGGTCTGTTTTGGTTCCAAGATCAGAATCTCTAGACCTTGTGGCCACTAGAATTCCTTGAGACTTCCCGCAAACACGCCTTTGGTACTCTTCCAGACTTTTGATTTCTTTCTGAACCTTTCTAAGGACTACAAGGGTGATTTTCTAATGTTTAGTTAACAACAGATTCCAATAAAACAACAAACAGAAGTCGGAATTTCTCAACCCTTGCCAACCAGCGACGGTCTTCATGCAGCTGGGAGGGT